TTGCATAGGTTGATGAAACTTTTGATGATTTCCATATTTCACGCTCCATTCTAGAATTGTAGTGCCAAACAAAAGTCCTCCAAGCCCAGGGTTTACAGATTTTATTTTTTTAAGTAAAAGAACTTTCAAAATAAGAATAACTCAAATTCAAAGATGCTGGGTCAAGCCTGGTCAACATGGTGAAACCCCATCTCTACTAAAAATGCATAAAATTAGCCGGGCATGGTGGCGCATGCCTGTAATCCCAGCTACTTGGGAGGCTGAGGCAGGAGAATCACTTGAACCCAGGAGGTGGAGGTTGCAGTGAGCCAAGATGGCACCACTGCAATCCAGGCTGGGCGACAAGAGTGAAACTCCATCTCAAAAAAAAAAAAAGTAGTCGTAGCAGAAGTATAAAAATTTCCCTGGATGGAGCAGCCACATAGGCCCAGATACAGGGCTCTGCCCCCATTCAAAACCTAGAGAAAATGAGAACTCTGACTAAAGGAAGAGCCCGACATTCAGTGTAGGAAGGGACACCGAGGCACTTTACACTATCCTAGGTTAGCTCTGGACAGTCAGAGATGCCAAAAGGAGGCGTGTGCTCAGAATGTTGGACAATTTCCACCACCCAGACCTCGCAGGCTAATCAGTGCCCAACTGGGAGGATCCTTCCCACAGGGCACCCCAGGACCCTCTTGAGGACTACACACCTCAAACTCTGTAGTTTTCCGAGTTGAAGGTATCAGCAATGAAGGGTTCTGTGAACAAGCCTTTACGATTAGATTATACAAATGGCTTCTTTGTAAGTGAAATTATTCTATGACAAATGGTAAAATAGGAAAAAACTGAGTCAGTGTTTTAGGTAAGAAAATAATGTACAAAATAATTTCTAATGAATATAAACAGCTAAACTATACGGAAGGACATAGTATTTGCTGTCCTTTTAATTTAACCAACAAACAGTAATACTAAAAATGTATTCTCTGTATAGTCATGCACTGCATAATGATGTTTCAGTCAACTATGAACTGCATATATGATGGTGGTCCCATCATTTTCTTTTTCTGAAACGGAACTTCCCTCTTGTCGCCCAGGCTGGAGTGCAATGGTGTGATCTTGGCTCACTACAACATCCGCCTCCCGGGTTCATGTGATTCTTCTGCCTCAGTCTCTTGAGTAGCTGGGACTACAGGCACCCACCAGCATGCTCAACTAATTTTTGTATTTTTAGTAGAGACTAGGTATCAGCATGTTGGCCAGGTAGGTCTCAACCTTCTGACCTCAGGTGATCTTCCCACCTCAGCCTCCCAGAGTGCTGGGATTACAGGCATGAGCCACTGAGCCTGGCCCCCAATCATCTTTTAAGATTATAATAAAGCTGAAAAATTTGGCTGGGCATGGTGGCTCACGCCTGTAATCCCAGCACTTTGGGAGGCCAAGGTGGTCGAGAGATCGAAACCATCCTGGCCAAAATGGTGAAACCCTGTCTCTACTAAAAATACAAAAATTAGCTGGGCGTGGTGGTGCACACCTGTAGTCCCAGCTACTTGGGAGGCTGAGGTAGGAGAATTGCTTGAACCCGAGAGGCAGAGGTTGCAGTGAGCCGAGATTGTGCCATTGCACTCCAGCCTGGGCAACAGAGCCAGACTCTGTCTCAAAAAAAAAAAAAAAAAAAAAAGAGAGAGAATGCTTTAAAAAAAACTCCCATTGCCCAGTGACATCATAGTTGTCATGGACTTTTTTTTATGTTTAGACACACAAATACCATTGTGTTACAATTGCCTACAGTATTCAGTGCAGTAACATGCTGTACAGTGTTTATAGCTTAGGAGCGATAGGCTATATCTAGGTATGTGGTAGGCTGTGCCACCCAGGTTTGTGTAAGTACACTCCATGATGGTCACACAATTACAAAATCGCCTTAAAACCCATTTCACAGAACATAACCCTGTCATTAAGTGGTGACTTTATATTAATTCCAAAGCAGTTTGGCCAAAAGCATCTTCTTAGAAGAGTTTTAGGGCTATATCTTAACAATAACGCTGATAAAGATTCCTTTTGTGTGTTTCTCTTAAATGATAATATGTTATGTTAAACAATTTAAATAATCATTTTTTTCCTCTTGCCAGGTTTGTCAGAATTTTCAATATACTCATGTGTTTTGTGAATTTCTAAGAGGGGGATAAAGTATGTGGCAGTTCAAAACTGCTTTGATCAGAGAACCTCAGAACAGATGTTTTGCTGGACCAGAGAGCTGTGTAGTAATACAATGATGGAAAGGCTGCTCTAATGAACTCTGTAAAGCTCTATAACATAAGAAAACCACTGTGTACCTCTGAAGAAACTAAACATATAAACCATATGAAGCATTAACTTATGAAATTGAAAAAATATATAAGGTAAAACATCAGTCAGGGTATATACATTAAGGAGTTAATCAGTTGACATTGCCCAGAATGGTTATGTATGTACATCAACAAAGATAAACTAAAATCAATTAATTTCACTGTACACTTGGCTAAACAAAACAAGGTCTTTAGTTGCAATGTAAATAAATTCATTGCTTTCCTCAAAAGAAATGTTCTTTAAGCCAAAGCATCATGCTAGTGAGTACACACTCAGAACAGAAGCACTGTGCCAAAATAAATTTATAGTAGGTACTTTATTGTGGAAATAAAATATAAAATCCTTCCCCAGCCAAGAGTTCCATTAGAAAATGAAAAATTCAGCCTCGGCATGGATGCAAATGCTTGCTTTTTTTATGAGCCCGGCCAACATTCCTACTCTGAGTTGCTTTGGTGCTGTGCCCGTTGCAGTCTTGGGAAGGTAAAAGGGCTCTGCCATGCACTGCCTTAGCCAGCAGGGCTTCCATGGCTGCCCCCGAGCACAGGATCCCAGGGCCTGTGCCTCCCCGACATGAGTGAGGTGTTCAAATCAAAAGGCAGAGGCAGCCCCTAATCACACCCGTGCTGATACCTGGGCAGGCAGTAAAGGTGCTCTTCACTTCCTTGAGCCATTTTCTGTTGCTCACTTATTTTTTCCAGCATGCAAACCAATGCCAGAGAGCTCATGCTGGAAATTCGAAAGGCGGAGATCCCAATCATGCTTATTGCTACTCTAGAAAAGGCTGATGGAAGAGGATGAAAGTATCGAATAAATGAACAGGGGAATGATCTTTAGCTTCTAAGCCTTCTGCATCCTCTTATGGTTTCAGATAATCAAGACAGAAATATCCTCTTATGAAACATTTCACAGACAATAGAACAAAGCTGTGCTATATAAAGGTATATCAAAGCAAAAAACCTCAACATCCTCTTAAATAAAAACAATGTATATAATATATATACACACAAGAAGTCTAGAAGAATATAAATCAAAATGTTCATGGCTACATTTTATAGGATGCCAATTACACACTTCAAAGCTGCTTAAAAAATGTTAACAGTAGTCATCTCTGAGTTAGGGAAGATTAGAAGTAATTTTACTTTTTTCCTGCTCGCATATATTTTCCAAATTTTCTTGACTGTATATGTGTCTTTTTTTTTCTTTTTTTTGAGCCAGAGTCTCAGGCTCTGTCACCCAGGTTGGGGTACATGGGTCTGATCTCAGCCCACTGCAACCTCTGCCTCCCAGGCTCAAGCAATTCTCCTGCCTCGGCCTCCTGAGTAGCTGGGACTACAGGAGTGAGCCACTACGCCTGGCTAATTTTTTGTATCTTTAGTGGAGACTGGGTTTCACCATGTTGGCCAGGCTAGTCTTGAACTCCTGACCTAAAGTTATCCACCCGCCTCAGCCTCCCAAGATGCTGAGATTACAGGCATGAGCCACCATACCTGGCACATATATGTATCATTTCAGTAAATATGTAAAAGTTATTTTAAAAAATCTTCCATAATTCATTCAATAATGAATTGATGTTTGTGTAGCTCTTTGTACTTTATCAAGGTTTCCACACATTTAATCCATAAAACAATGGGAAATAGTATGACTGTCATTTCAGAGAGGAGAAAACAGACTCTGAGATGTTATAAAACTTATTCAAAGTCAACAAGCTAGTAACTAACAGGACCAAGATCTAGATCTCCAGATCTCTTCCAAATTTCATGGCTTTTATTTTCTTTTTCTCAATATTGGCTATGTCGTATGGTCTAGTATGTGCTACTAGATACATAAACCCCACAGGAATATACCTTGCACAGAATAGAAGCATTGGAGTTCTTACACAAAGATTTAAGCAAAGGGAAATACATAATTTTTCAAACTCAGTATTGGTTGAGGGGGAACATGTAAAACACCAGGGGAGGTTTGGAGACCAAACCTCCAAACACCAGGGAGGTAGGAAAACTTGCTCTCTTGGTTCCTGTATCATACGTGCTTGCCTTCATTTTAACCCCATTCAGAAAGGGAAAAGGAAATTTGACAAAAGTGAAGCCAAAACACTTAGGGAGAAAAAGCACACATGGCATCAAATAATGAAATTAAGCTAGAGGTATTTAGACACCGCTAAATGTTGTTTTGTTGTTGTTTTGTTTTGTTTTAGAGACAGAGTCTCGCTTTGTCACCCAGGCTGGAATGTAGTGGTACGATCTTGGCTCACTGCAACCTCTGCCTCCTGGGTTCAAGCAATTCTCCTGCTTCAGCCTCCTGAGTAGCTGGGATTACAGGTGTGCACCACCACACCTGGCTAATTTTTGTATCTTTAGTAAGGACAGGGTTTCGCTATGGTGGCCAGGCTGGTCTTGAACTCCTGACCTCAAGTGATTTGCCCGCCTTGGCCTCCGAGTGTGCTAGGATTACAGGTGTGAGCCACCACGCCCGGCTAGATACTTCTAAATGTTTATTAGAGGAGAGGGAAGACCCAGGGAAAGGTTAAAGATTTTGGAGAACAAGAAAGAGAGGGCAGAAATAGAAAAGGACACAAAATAAGATGGGTTTGGATCCCTAGTAAGAATCATGGCCAATTTGGCATGAAGAACCCAAGACAGTTATAAAAGAGAGTGAGAAAGACCCATTAGTACCTTCATTCCGGCTGCGGCTGCAGGGCCACTGGGGTCTACAGCCTGGATGTGGCATGGCTTACTTCCTCGCACCACAAAACCCCAGCCAACCGCGTCACCAACAATCTGGAGAGGAAAACCACAATTAGCAAGCAGCCGACTGTCTCCAGCAATTTGCTTATTCTTCTGAGGGAGAGAAGACCAGCCCAGGATTAAGTATGCACTGTGACATATTTTCCTCTGTTTCTCTCTTCCCTGCCAGGGGATTGGAACACTGCTTCTATCACAAACCCAGGCATCTCCCTGTAGAAAAGGTGGTAAAAAAAAAAATCTAACCTGTTTGGCAGAAAGAAGATGCTCCCGTGAGGGCATGATTCAATAAACAACTGGAAGATTTTCTCTTTCTTAGGCTGTTATACAATGTAATGTCAGACTCCAATAGAAGGTTTAGAAAAAGTCATAACATGGTTGAAATGTCTCTCCGGATACAATTTCTACTGTAAGTTTGTTATTTTCCCCAGTATCCAAATGATACACTCTTGATCCTGCAATGTCATTAAAGTCTAGCATAATTATTTAAATTACTAATGGTGGGAAATGAAGAGACTTGGCTTTCTTTTCTTTTTTTTTTTTTCTTCTTGAGACAGAGTCTTGTTCTGTCACCCAAGCTGGAGTACAGTGGTGCAATCTCAGCTCACTGCAACTCCCACCTCCCGGGTTCAAGTGATTCTCCTGCCTCAGCCTCCCGAGTGACTGGGATTACAGGCACGCAACACCACGCCTGGCTAATTTTTTGTATTTTTAGTAGAGACAGGGTTTCACCATGATGGTCAGGCTGGTCTCAAACTTCCGAGCTCAGGTGATCTGCTCGCCCAGCCTCCCAAAGTGCTGGGATTACAGGCGTGAGCCCTCATGCCCAGGTTAGACTTGGCTTTCTAAAAACACAATATTCTCCACCAAGGGGGGAAAAAATTGAAAAAGTACATAAAGTTCACAATGTACAATGTACGAGTAGACTGTAAACCAAAAGTTGTTTGGAATTAGAGAAGGCCTTTTCTATAGAAATCATTATTAGAGCTGACAGTTTCATTCCCTGGACAGCTCCTAGCCACGTCTTTCACATATAGCCCAACTAAAACACAGCTGAAACACATTCACAATCAATTACTAACAATGTTGGCATTTAAATTAAAAATCAAAAACAAACACTTTCAAAATACAATCTGCTCTCTCTTCAATGCTGGAGACTGAGGAAAAACAGGGAGAAACAGGGAGGTAAACGAAAATTTTTGTGGAAATGCTCAAGATTTTCAGGCACTTCCATTACTTTACAGTTTGCTGTTACTTGTGTATTATATTCAATTTCACTTCCGAAGGTACAGTTTATCTTTTCCTCTGGTACAGACGTGTTATCAGTGCCTTTCTCCTATTAACTCCTCAGCATTCAGAATGTGAAGCGGCCCTTAGCAAATGTTTGTTGCGTGACTGAGTGTGGATAGAATTCTCCCCCAGCCTGAGGTAATGCCACTAAGTTAGAAGATGAAGGAGAAGTAGAAGTGTTTTGAAGAGGGTATGAACGTGAATTTGAGAAGATTGACAGAAGGAGACACGGGAAGGGGAGTGGGGGTGGTGATGCTGAGAGGAGCACTTTCATTCCATTTGAAGAAATCCAATGCAGGCAGAAGGAACCTAAAGGACCTCCAAGAAGGGGCAGGCGGTCCGGAGCTGCTCACAGCAAGTCAGAGGCTTGTGTACCTCAAGGCATGCTCACATTGTCGAAGCACCCTGCCTACGGTAGAACAATTTATCCCACAGTTTCCTTTCTCTACCTTAACACTCCCCTAATGTTTTAAATAACGTCTAGAATTAATTATAATGCAGAAGGGATTATTGGCATCATTGGCACTTCCATTTGCCATAAAATTAATAATAATTTAAATTACTAATGGTGGGAAATAAAATCTAAAATTATTAGATTTTAAGGCAAATGCAAGTGCAAATGATGCCAATCTTAAAATTTGCAATTAAATTAGAATAAGCGCATAATGGAAATCTTTTCTTCAACAAAGAACACATTTAAAAAAATGTTAAATGCTATATGAATAATAAAGCATGTGAAGTCCTAATGCATCTTAGTGCCTTAAGGTCAAGAAAGCCTATTATCATAATTATGCTAAAAACAAAAAGAAAACTAGAAAAACAGTTTTCAGGTCAGTCTATAAGCTACCCATTGACACATGGACACGGCGCAGAAAAATGGGCAGCACAGGAGAAACAGGCCAGACCATCAGCCTACCGTGAATGTCTTCCTTGCATATGGAGCCCCGGGAGTAAGGAGTTCCTCAGAGGTGACAGGTCTCTTCAGCACTGTCAGACAAACACAATGTCAAGACATAAGCACTTCCAAATCCTCCATCCATGTATTCAGCAGCTATTTATTGATATCTCATAGGTGACCATCAGTGAGAAAAAGTAGCATAGATCCCTGTCTCACAGTTTATATTTTAGCTGAGTGGAGACAGAAAATAGCAGCAAACATACATAACCCTAAACCTACCTTACAAAGCTAAGGAAAAAAAGAAAGGGAAGGAAAGCAAGAATGCCGGGGGTGGGGATAAGAGGACAGGTCAATTTTTTTTTTCTTTCTTTTTTTTTTTTTTTTTTGAGACGGAGCTTTGCCCTTGTCGCCCAGGCTGGAGTGCAATGATGCAATCTCGGCTCACTGCAACCTCCGCCTCCTGGATTCAAGCAATTCTCCCACCTCAGTTTCCTGAGTAGCTGGGATTACAGGCACCCAACACCACATCTGGCTGATGTTTGTATTTTTAGTAGAGACAGGGTTTCACCATGTTGGCCAGGCTGGTCTTGAACTCATGACCTCAGGCAATCCGCCCGCCTCAGCCTCCCAAAGTGCTGGGATTACAAGCATGAGCCACCCGGCCTCATTTCCTTCTTAACACCTAGGACTGCATGTACACACTGCTTTCTGCCCTGAGTAATAATGCTAGTGAGCTTTTCGGAGTATTTAACATGTGCTAGAGAGGCACCATGCGAGGTGATGTGAATATATTAACTCACTTAATCATCACAAGAATGAGCGAGTTAGGATCGTTGTTATCCCCATTTTATAACTGCAAAAACAACCTTAGAAAAGTTAAATTGATTGTGTCCAAGGTTCCAGAGCTAATGGGTGGCAGAAGTAGAATCAAACTCAGGCGTTAGACACCAGCGCCCACACTCTCAGCTACTGTGCCACACTCACTCTGGGCCATGCTGTCCTGCAAGCAAAAGAAAGGGTCTAGAAGCTCAGGAAGATAGTGGCATGCCATCCTCCTCACATCAGCTCGCTGCTGTTGCCCACCAAGATAGCAGACAGCAGCCAGTTCCTGACTTGTGGCTGCCTAAAACCCACCGATAATGAACCGCCCCATCCATCCTGTGCTCACTAAGAACTGGAGAGGGGCTGTCATATCCTCCCCAAATAGCCAGGGGGTCAGGGGACACGGACCATTCTAAACCAGCTCTGTAGACATCGTGAACTTGAAGTGCCACAGACAAACAGAAAAGGCCCAGCCACGGGGCCTAACCTGGTGAAGTGGCATCCTCCGATCCCCTTTGCTAGTGACAGTCAGAGGTCAGGTACCAGTCCTGGAATGAGTGTGCAGCAGACAAGGAAAGGGAGGGTGGGGAGAGGCCTGATGATCCACCAGGCAGCTGGGCCTTGCCCGCTGGTTACATGCGCGGCCTTCTGGTCTGACAAGCACCCTCTCAGTGAAAGGCAATCCAGTGCTTCTCGTTGAGGTGACAGTTTGCTGATCTTATCACCTTTGCTTTCAGAAATCTCATGAAAGTGAAAATTAATTTATGGTCGCTAAACAAGAGGGAGTAGGTCAAACATCAAGATGGAAATAGTATCTCTCAGCAGATGGATGGGAGAGAAGAAAAGTGGCCAATATTTGAGGACTGAGATCTTTTTTATTCCCTGTCAGATAACTCTCTCTCCACTCCCCATAAACCCTCAGGGGCTTATGAATTTGGATACATGAATCACACTGTACTGTTTGGCAGCAGTGCTGACCATTCATTTTAATGCACTTCTCCTCTTTATTATGTTGAAAACTGTAGAAACTTCGAGGCCCAGGAAAAGCTTTTTTCTTTTCATATCCTTGGAAGCTTATTTGCTTATTATGATGATACCGGTAACATCAATGTCTTTAGTACTGTTTTTTTTGGTCTGGCTTAGGGCATTTGTATACAGTACTAAAAAACATATCCTGGTATCTTTAGGATAATTAATTTTTAAATGCATCACTGTGAAGGCCTGATCATCTGCTTGAGAAAAAAAAAAAATCACAGATGAGCTCACTAGGTCTTGGGAACCCTCTCAAGAGTGAGAGAGAAGCTTGTCAAACTATGGGTAAGACGTGGGATTTACAAACCACAGCTCAGTCCTGACAGCTCTTGTCCTTGGAGACCCATGAAAGGAAACAAGACCTTTCTCTTCTGCCTGCATAACAGTGAACTCTTGCCTTTGACCCAGAGGCAAGGAGAAAGAGGAAACAATACTAACCTACCTCAGAGAACATGGATTTTGTTGCTAATTTCAGTAATTCACACTTTTTTCGTATTCCATCATAAGCAATCAAAAACATGTAAAATGGTTATGGCACCACTGACCCTTCTATTGAAACTGACATCTTTTGCTTTTAACTTTGAGGATGCCTGTCAGATTTCTATGAGGGCTTCAAACATCCCATTTCTAAGAATTCAGTTCTCCTTTTTCATTCTGCTTTATCAGCAAACTCCAGGAATTGAAAAACCTAGCACTCAACGACTCTTCAGCCAGTACAGTGTGGAAGCAAGTTTCTTCATTCACTTACAGGTTACATTTATTCCTGCCGCTAACTCTCCAGAAGGCAGCAAAAAAAGAAAAAAAGTTAGATCAGGAAAAAGAGCCACCTTCCTAGATAATAGCATTAGATGACAGGGTTTTCTCTCAAAGCCTTTTGAACCACATCAATTAGTCCTTATTCTTACTAACGTGAAATATTTTGTTTTGTTCTCCAAAGAGGTGGTGTATTCACTGAGTTGGGGGTTATGACCTGTCTGTCATCTTTGTATCCCCAGGATCTGATGATGAGGAAACAACATGAACAAAAGGAACAGAGCCTCTTCCTTGAAGGTGACAAACTGGACAGGGCCTTAAACAAATGGGTCTGAGAGTGTTTTCTGGCAGTTGCTGTAGTGATGGACCACATGTCCTCATCCTGGCAAGGAGAACAGTGAGGACAGGAGATGGGTAAGGGATGGTGAGAAAGGGTAGCTTCAATGGATTGCCAGTTCCTGGGGGGTTAACTGATTGGGTGGAAGAAGGATTGTTTCTAAGTACATGTTCACCAACAATCTTTGTGCCTAGATTTTTTTCCTGGAATATAAAGGCCATGGAGGTTGAGGAGCAGATTTTGAAGCCACAAGGCACCCAGGGTCAGTTCCAGGGATAGTTAGGTTTGCACACATCCATGCTGCTTCTTTAAGAGTGTTGGGCCCCAACAGATCTTTGCATCGGCTGCATTCGGGGGAAGTGCTGTTTCCCCTGCTGTGAACACTGTTACACACACTGACCCAAACCCCCTTCAGGGCTCAGGAACTCCTCCCAGCTCAGGGAGTGCTAATGGCATGGCAACAGCCCTCAGCTGTCTTGGGGACCATCTCTCTGAAGACAGCTGCTTCGCCCAAGGTCATGCCCTCCTCCCAGGGGCAGCCAATATCTAGTAAGTGGCCAACACGTGGATCTAAAGGCCCAGCCCCTCAACACAACTCCAGGCAACTTGGAAGGGCCATCCCAGCTCCTGAGGTCTTATTGGGTCAATGACAACCTTCACTGAGACTGGGCTACAACCCAATTTCTCCTTCAGCCCAATTCTTCCTTCCCTTCATTCAACATGTGTGGACCCCAAGAGCATGCTCTAACTTATTAGAACCCACACACTAGTCTCCTGCTATCTCAGATTCTGCTTCCCAGGGACCTGCCCAAGTCCCCACAGTCTTAGGAGTGGGGCCACCTTTTGGGCACTCACCGGACTTGGGGTTGCAGAGCACAGGGGGGCTGCTGCTGAGGGTGGGGCTGCTGCTGAAGTAGCCGCTGCTGCCACAGCTGCTCATGCTGCTCCTCCTCACTGCAGACACGATCTTGATCTCCTTGCTGGGGCTCACTGTGTAGGCCAGAGAACACACACAGTCAACGAGGGGATGGTCTCGGCTCACTAGAGCACATAGGCTTTCAGCTGCAAGGTCCAGGGAGGCCAGGAAAAAGCACACTGGTCTTAGTGGCAGAAAAACAAGAGCTTGAGTTGCAGCTCTACTCTTACTTTATATTATATTATTTTATTTTTTTGAGATGGAGTCTCACCCTGTTGCACAGGCTGGAGTACAGTGACACAACCTGGGCTCACTGCAACCTCTGCCTCCTGGGTTCATGCAATTCTCTTGCCTCAGCCTCCCCAGTAGCTGGGACCATAGGTGCCCATCACCATACCCGGCTAATTTTTGTACTTTTAGTAGAGATTGGGTTTCACCATGTTGGCCAGGCTGATCTTGAACTCCTGGCCTGAAGTGATCCACCCATCTCAGCCTCCCAAAGCACTAGGATTACAGACGTGAGCCACCATGCCTGGCCAGCTCTGCCACTTGCAGCACAACTTGGGGTCACCTCAGGGAAGCTCTCTGAGCCTAAATTTCCCTGACTGTAAAGTGAGAACAATGCTGTCTTATAGGATTGTGCAAGGGGTGGGTTATATCATGAGCATGAAAAGATGATATTATTTCAAGAACTACCACATCCATGCTGAGCAGTCCTTGCTAGGATATAAATGACTTGCTAGTTACACGGGATGAATCAACAGTGAAAATAAATGCCTTCTGATTTCAAATAAAACCATTAATCAGGCCGGGCCCGGTGGCTCATGCCTGTAATCCCAGCACTTTGGGAGGCCGAGGTGAGCAGATTACGAGGTCAGGAGTTCAAGACCAGCCTGGCCAACATGGTGAAACCCCATCTCTACTAAAACCACAAAAATTAGCCAGGCATGGTGGCACGCACTTGTAATCCCAGCTACTTGGGAAGCTGAGGCAGGAGAATTGCTTGAACCTGGGAGGCAGAGACTGCAGTGAACCAAGATGGCATCACTGCACTCCAGCCTGGGCGACAGAGTGAGACTCTGTCTCAGAAAAAATAAAAGCAAAAACAAAGAAGGATTAATCATCCAGAGCCACGGAAGAAGGAGCTTAAAATACAGAGCACACATTCAGGCTTTGAGCGTGTATGTAAGGCAGTGTCTTTACTTTTCTGATTTGGTTCTCTGTCATGGAGTAAGCTGGCTCTCAACATGGGGAGGGTATATGACTGAATGAAAGAAATCATGGAGACCCTGGCACGTGGGAAGCCCAAAATAAATGCTGGTGTTCATGGTCATGATGTGGTTCGAATATATGTCCCCACCCAAATCTCATGTTGAAAGGTAATCCCCAATGTTGGAAGTGGGGCCTGGTGGGAGGTGACTGGATCATGGGGGTGGATTCTCATGAATGGTTCCATCCCCATTACACTGTCCTCACCATAGTAAGTGAGTTCTTGTGAGATCTAGTTGTTTGAAAGTATGTGGCACCTCCACCCCCAACCCCTGCCACTCCCACTTGCGCCATGTGAGACCCCTACTCCCACTTCACCTTCAACCATGATTGGAAGCTTCCTGAGGTCTCCCCAAAAGCAGATACCACCATCCTTCCTGTTTTCCCTGCAGAACGGTGAGCCAATTAAACTTCTTTTCTTGATATTAGGTTGGTGCAAAAGTCATTGCGGTTTTTGCCATTAACAGTAATTTCTGTGCCCCAGGCACCGAGCCAAGCCTGGGTGCATGAAGCTTGGTATGAGTTAAACTGATGTTAGCTAAAGCTGGTGGACAGAATAGGAGGTGACAATGAGACCACTTACAACTATAGGACATTTCTGTGCCCCATTACTTTTTGCAATTTTGCTATTACTTTTCACAACAAAAACCGCAATGACCTTTGCACCAACCTAATAAATTACTCAATCTCAGTTATTCCTTTATAGCAATTCAAGAATGGACTAATACAGGTTACCATGGTTACTATATCCTTCTACTCATCATTATCACTTGTTCAGGTTTCTCGGGCCCACTCAAGAAACAGGCAAACCCTTGTTTGTGAGAAAGTAAAATCACTCTGCAGTTTACAATGTTAAGGAGACATATATCAAGTGTGTCCTCTTGACCTGACCAGATTGGCCTGGGAGCACAGGATTAGCCTCCTGACCCTCAGCCAGTCTTTCTTTTCCCACAGAAGCTCATGCTTCTTTCTCTCCTCCAGATGGCTGCGTCTGAGGAACCTGGGTGTGGGGGATCGGGGAGGTGGTGGCATATTAAAAGCACTGGAGTAAACAAAACTGCTGGGAGCTAAGCTGGTGTTAGCTACAGCTGGTGGACTGAGCTCTGCCCACCACTTCCTAACTTTGCGTAAGCCACTTAATTGCTCTGTATCTTAATCTCTTCAACTGTAAAATAGGGATAAGAAAAGTCCTTTCTCTTAGGGTTACAGTAAGAATTAAATGAGAAAATTCATACAACCAAGCTTGGCTCAGGGCCTGGGGCACAGAAATGTCTCAATACATTCAGTTGTTTTGTTTTGAGACACAGTCTCGCTCTGTCACTGAGGCTGGAGTGCAGTGGCGAGATCGCTGCTCACTGTAACCTCCGCTTCCCGGGTTCAAGTGATACTCCTTCCTCAGCCTCCTGGGTAGCTAAGACTACAGGCACCCACCACCACACCCAGCAAATTTTTGTATTTTTAATAGAGACAGGGTTTCACTTTGTTGCCCAGGCTGGTCTCGAACTCCTGACCTCAGGTGGTCCTCCCGCTTTGGCCTCCCAAAGTACTGGGATTACAGGCATAAGCCACCACACCTGGCCTCAATACATATAGTTGTG